ATATATATATATATGTATATACGTTACCGACAATAAAATCGATTTTTCACACGGAGCATTTATCATGCGGCCGTGATAATGGGGCGTGCACGGAGATACGGGATAAATATTTCGAAGTAAATAATCGTTAGCTCTATGGTATCGGAGTGTCCGAGGATGCATTAATAACGTCGGTGCCTGTCTTACGTGCACGTCGTCCGCAACAGAGCCGAGCGGTCTCGGTTATATGTTGCGCGCGCGCGGAGATCCGTTCGCATCTCCCTCTTGGTGGCCATTTGGCAGCGCGAGAACGTTCGATCACGAGTGCTCGTCATTTAAGCCAGCACTTTGCGCGATCTCGACGACGCGTCGTTTGCGCGAAATTGCCGCGTCGATTCGAACGCGGACAATCGACGGAGCGATGGACGATGAGAGCGTGCGGCACTTGAGAGAGTCCGCGTCTTCTGAAGAACTCGCTCTTTGAAAATCAGCGGGATACTAATTGCAACTTGATCGCAAATATAGACACGGATATCTGACGTGTAAAAAGAGTTTCGCGACAATATACCTATTGTAAGATTTGTGTATGTGTGTTTTTTTTTAAATTAATTTTAATCCTGCACACACGCGCACAAAATCGATCGTTTTTGATCGAGGTTATCGTTAGAGACTACATGTTGGACCTTGTGGAAGATATTTCCTGAAAGCAAACTGTCCAAATACGAGCTCGTTAAACTCCCGTGATCCCGTGTGAAGAGATCATTGGTCGGGATCGCGCAATGGAGTAAGATTAATTATCACTGAAAATTGTCTTCTCGACCCGATGGCTGTCGACGCGATCACTCGGAACCCCGTGTTCCCGCTGAGCAAAAAATAAAAAAGAAAAGAGACAGGAAAAAAGAAGAGATAAGCGGCCGTTCCCGCAACGATGCCCGTGACAAATCTGCGGCGATTAATCTCAGTTGAATACCTTTTCCGTGTATATACCGGAGCCCAAGCCACGAGTCTCGGTTGCGTTTATCGCCATCGGTCCGCGGTAGACAGTGAACGTTTACAAGGTGTAACTATGCGCTTGGGGGCCAGGTGGTCGATCGTCTTCAAAGCCCCGAAACGAAAATCTTCCGTCAGGAATGACCCCCAGCTGAGAATTTCCTGGGCGTTTTATTTTTATTTCACACCTCCTATGGCGTTACCTCTTCATTCTCGCTCTCGCCTCGCGCGCGAGTTTACTGGGCCTCTAAATGAGCCCCCGGTCTATCGGTGTCTGCGACTCGCCCCGATAATTACGTGATCGATACGCTAAATGCCCCCACCGTCCGATTATGTAAATAAACAGACGCGCGTAGCTAATTGGGTTACATGCCCGTGTGGGTGTGTAGCAGTAAACAAGGCGATCTTCTTATGGAGTGTTAAATAAACATACGAATTGTTTAGTGAAAGATATATAGTTGTAATAAAAACAATAAAAATAAAAAAGTGAAGTTTGCGGCGTTTTTGCAGGAGATAGACATGCACGTATATCGCGCTTTTAAAAATATTTTGCGTCCATGATGACATTTTCTTGTGTATTACTAGTTTTTTTTTATTTCTATTTCAATGTAAAATTAACACGCAATTGATATGTTACTATTTGTAACAAAACTTAAAATTACATGTGTAAAAAAAACAAAAACAAAAACAAAAAGGAACAAATTAACATTTCCTTACACGTATATATTCTATAAAAGATGATAGTAATAAATAATATGAGGCACATTATCTCTTTGATAACGTGTTTGCAGTTTTTAAGTACGTTCGATATCGATAGCTCGTTCGCGCTTCGGAGAGATCGCGCGGGAGAGGAAAAGAGAGAACAGCCGAGTTTAATCTACTAATCTATCTATACACACACATACATATCAGAGAACGCGTTCGCGCGTATACAGACGCTGGTCGACTAAAGAGGATCGGGGGGATAAGCGCGCGCCTTCGTGTATAGAAGGGTGCGAGTGAGATTCCGCGCGATTTCTCGGGGCCCCGGAGCTCCGCGCTTCGGGGGGAAGAAGGATTCTTATTTCCTCATAAATAATTTTAATGACGCGCCGCGGCAGTTCAGGTATAAGGCCAGGACCTATATGCAGATCCTCCCGGTATCCGTAGGCACAGAACTCGTATTGTTATTTATTATGTTCGTCGTGCAGGCGTATACAGGGCTCCGCGCGCACACACCGGCGCACGCGGGAGTGTCCGCCGACCATTTTTCATATCAACGTTCTCTTCGCACACAACGCTGCAGTGTGTGTCTGCGTTCCCGAGTCACTGCGCCCGCGGTTTGTAGATTTTAATACACACGCCCGCTTTTACCAACACCGCCCCGGATCGTTCTCCCGTAAAACGCGGGTCGTCGAATGGAGTTTAACTCTTCGCGTCACAGCGCGCAAGAGAAGTCTTCTCTCAAATAATTTATGCATTTTATTCTTTTTCTCGTTCTCTATGTTACGCGAGAAAAAGAATTTTTATGTGCCACGGAAAGAGAGAAATAGAGAGGGAAAATATCAAGAGAATATTATAATATATATGCAAATTAATAAAATGGTTCATCGAGCCGGGTAATACACGCCCAGGTAATATACGCGTAATACATATGTATCATTTTTTTTTTTTTTGTAAACTATAACGTGGAGCATCCTCTCCCGGCATGTGCAGTAACTGCCTCCAACCCTTGGTTTCCTCCCCGTATTCTCCCACCGACGTCGTCGCTCTTTGCTAGACGACCGGGGCGAGAGGAACAGCTCTCTCTTCCGTGGATCGAGACAACATCGCGGCCAATCAGCGCAATGCGTTTCTATTGTACATCCTCGCGCAGATGATGCCGCGTAAGGTGGGGGACAAGCGCGTGCGAATTGAGACCGCGTGGCAGCGCCACTTTCGTATGCTTTCCCCACTCTTCGCTACGGTGGGCCGGACATCCTCGAGCGAATCGCAGTACCGTACAGACAGTTCCGCCCTTCACGCTTGTTCCGCCCCCATGCTTGTTCGGCAGAAGGGATTTTATGATCGTGTGTCGTATCGACACGAAAGAGACTGTGTTTCGTGGTGCATCCCGGAGTCGGAGAGACCGGGAGTTACGTTATTATTATCGAGGACCGAGCTGACAAACTGTCGTGTGTGCCATGGTGCGCTTCTTGCGCGTATCCGTCGCCTCCTCGCATGGCGCTTAATATAATCATCGGAGGTGCTCACGCATCTATTATCTCTCACCGGAATCTCGGTGTCGGAGTTACTGCCGTTCGCGTTGCGATCGCGTCGTGACACCCCCGTAACCGTGCAATGTCGCAGAAAAGTCGACAACAACCGTGAAAGATTCGAAAACGTGCATCTACGTGACAGTGTGTCTACGGGTTGGGAAATCTCTTCTCATCGACCAGGAGGAATCATGAAAGTACGTATAAATAATTGTGACAAATGTATTTCACTTAAAACAAATTTATATTATTTAAAACAATCTTGTAAAACAGTTTTCAAACATCAAAACGTGGTACATAAAAGAATTTAATATATGAATTTCAACTTTAAATATTTGAATTCGTCGCAGTGTTTTTTTTTTATATTAAATTTCTATATAATAGTATATTATATAGAAGTATTAATTAATTATTATCTATATGGTATATTATAACGTACTTATATATTATTACCTACACAAAACGAAACCTCTATTAGACATCTATTAGATATCGCATGAAGCTGTTAACGTCTAACGGATGTCTAATGAAGTTTTTGTTTTGTGTGAGAGAATTATGTACATCCCTCACCGGTCATTCTTATTCTTTTCATGTACTTATCGACGTCAGGTCCTATGGAAAATACTTTCTTTCTGAAACTATTTTTTATCTTAATGTTTTTACAATTTAACAAGATGTTGTATTCGCGCATACATCTCGGGCAATTTTTGTCAGTAAGTTGATATATATTTTATGTGAACAAACGAAGATTCGCATAAACTTGACGCCTTTTTTATAAAGGTAAGGTTTATCTGTCTCTAATGCAACGTGCATACATGGATGAATTACGCATCCGGTTGTAGGTAGAGGTATGCGTAAAACATGCCTACGCGCGAGTGAAACTGTAAACGCGCGTAAGATCACATCGAGGAGACAGTCGACGTCCCACGCTAAGAAGGGTACGTGAGTTGTGCCAAAAGGCGACTTTTGAAGATAGCGCGACGACCGCACGCGTGTGGTCCAGTAAATTGTCGGTGTATAAAGCGCGCAAAATGTCGCATCAGCTTGATCCGCAGTTATATGGCTCCGTTTTTTAAGTCAGAGCCTCTCTCGCTCTTTCTCGTTTCGTTTCTTATTCATCATTCACGTTGCTCTGCTTGTCGAGGGCGAGAGAGCGAGAGAGAGAAAGAGAGAGGATACGGAGCAAACGAAGGGAGAAAAAAAGAAATGCGAGAGACGAATCGCAAGACACGCCTCGCTCAGAGCATATTTATCGCTTAGCCGCGAGTTATACACTATATAATTCAGAGAATACGCGGGATCTAAACCATGAAGAATCGTTGCAATACAGAGAAAAGAGAGAAAAAGAAAAATTAATTTTCAAACAATTACCCCCGGTTCTAACAGTGATTAAAATTCGTGATAATAATTCTTTATTAAAAGAAATAACTTTTATTTGATATAATAAAATCATTTAAGGATTGAATGTTACTTATAATAAATTCTCTGTTTAATCGCAAATCTCGATGGTGCACTTTAAATATATACACGACACGTGACTCGATTCAGTGATGGTAAATTGCGTCGTATCTTTTGATAACGACTCCGCGGAAAACAGCGATAAGCGTGTGCGATACGTGTGTATTAACATATACGCTTCTGTGACGCGAAAACACAGGAAGAGATTTTTAATTTTTTGGTTTTTGTTTTTCAGTGTTTTCTTTAAATTTTGACAAGTGAAATTTCATTTTTAAATAAATATTTAGTATATTTATTTTCCAAGCGATAGTGAAAGTGATACTGTCTCACTCGTAATAAATAGTAAATTTATATTTTAGGGAATGAGACTATTTTAACCATATATAATCGTATAGCAAATGTGTTATTCGAGTGAATAATTATTTTATTGCAAGAACAAATATTTATTCTTGTAATTTATATGTTTGAATAAATTTCTCGATTAATATCTCAGGTGTTCTAATACCAACTCACTGAGAAAAAACCATTGCGAAAAATGGTCTCGACTGGATTCGAACCTGGAACTTCAGCTTGCTAGACCGGTGCTCTACCAATTCAACTGTGAGACTCTTGTTGACACTCGTCGCAAAGCACTTGAGTTAGCTCTTCAAATAATGCAACGGGAATATAATTTTTATCTGAGTTAAATGCAAGTTTTTGTATTGTAAATACAAAAACGTGTGTGTGTGCGTGTGTGTTAAATAATGTGATGTTCTACAACAAAATTATATTTATAATTTTTGCATTCGATAGAATGTAAAAAAAAACGACAATGTTCTCGCTAACATAGCGTTCACACAAATGAAATTATTCATTTTCACAACAGAATCCACTTTATGTGAAAAGTCATTCTAACTCGAGTGATTCGACAGTTGCTCACCTCTTCCCGAGTGTATTTTTATTCTAAGACATTTAGAGAGTGCTATCATTAATCGCACCAAACTACAAATTTGAAGAAGTATTTGTAGTTTTGGCTTTTAAAAGTGTATTTATATACATTAGAGAACGAAAAAAGTTTTCATTTTATGTCGGGAATGGCGCACGCGTGAGCGCATCTGGAGAGAAGGCATCTCACACACATTATTATCTAAGTCTAGATCTATTACGACTGCAGCGCGCGCGCCAACGCTTTTGTCAATTTCGGATTCGATTCCTTGGACATTCATCGGTCATGATGACGATCGGTTCGGTCCGGGGGCGTGCGAGTAATAAGTGTCCCCAACTAATCGTGAAACGAATTTTCTCTCATCCCTCAGTCATATTTTACAAAAGGACAGTGGCGACAATCTGGCAGACGTAACCAGAAATCGAATGACAATTTAAATGGATTTCGAGTGTGAACGCTCGAAAGTCGGATCGTAGTATTGTGTTCGCGTCTAGACGTAGGCACATATAATATTTTTCTCAAAAGGTGCGAAGAACTCGTGTCTTTTTTCACGTTTCGTTGTTACTAAGAAGACGCGGATCCTTCCTTTGGAATGCGGTTTGGGAATTCAAAACGAGGGCAATATTTGTCTCGTCTAGAAAGTATATCATAGTCTTTGTTATAGCTACAAAAGAAAAAATGATCAAAAATTGTTTTTTCGGTATACTAATCAAAAAAAAATCTCGTTCCTCTCTCTTCGGGAGTCCTTTCTCTGGAAGATCCTCTCTTTAGGAAGTCTATGTTTTGGATCTAACTTAGTTTCGTTGTCTGACATAAATCTAAACTGATAAATAAATCAGTCGCGCATAGAAAAAAAAAAAAAAGATAGAATAGTTCATAAAACTGAGATTTCAGAGAAGACTTTGTTTTTTTGTTTTTTATAAAAGTTATTGTACACATACACACAAGCACGCGCGTCTCTCTGTTTAAAGTCACTCAAAACTCGTGTGCACAAGAACACTAAAATAAATTTTAAAAATTAAATAAATTAAATAACAATGAAAATAAATTGGCTATAAATGAAAATAAATTTAACTTTATTACTTTAGTAATTCACAAAAGCTTAAGAGTTATATAATTATAAAAATAATATATATTAGATATATATATATATATAATTTTTTTATTTTTTAACACATTATCACTACAATGCGTAATATATAGTTTAAATTTATACATTATAATGGCATGTATTTTCAAGCAAAAAAATTATTCTAAAATTAGCATCATAAGAGCTAAGAAAAAAATAAGTACTGACCTCTCGTCGCGTTGGTTTTCACGGTGCTAAATCGCATTATATGATTATGATATGGACGAATGCATACCTACTGTGAGAATAGTTTGCCAGAAAAAGAAATATCGATTTCAATGGAATACAACGTATCTCCAACTGAAAGTGACAAACCCGCGAGGGTCAACGAAGGCGGTACCCTGCATTGGAACCCCTACAAGCCCCCCCGCCGACAAGCTTTCAACTTTGAAAGTCATACTATATAGCTGGTGTCTATCATAGAATGGGGACCGCGAAGAAACCGAAACCAAAACCACTCGAGAGGGATAAGGAAAAAAGGGACCTCACGAGTATATTCTAAATAGAGAGGCGTGCACGAGAATTCAATACGAGAGCGCGCGATATACAAGTTCGCTATGGATCAAACTCTCTATGGGTCTTCTTCCACTAAGAGTCAATAACACCGTAAAGGCGGGATCACCAGAATAGGTAAATCTTTAAATCCGATTACAAAAACGACTTAAAACGTTGTTATTGGGTCAGACCGATGTTGGTGCGAAAACTTACATCTGTCACTTACTTTGAGAAGATAATGTACTCGCGTTGTTAAAAAGATTGAGAGTGTTAAAACGATTAAACAATTGAGAAGACTGTGTATTAAGTCTGTAGATAGAAGGACAATTATTCACACAATATATTCAAATGTTAATTACATAGTGTTGCAACGTGGCATTTACTATTGCAGAACTGTTAATCGCTTTGAATATATATTTTATTTATACGACTATAAATATATTTACGGAGACAGAAAGAATGAGAAAAGAATCACGCACAGAAACATTTTAAGCAGTTCGCTTCTGGTCATCTTTAATTATGCAAATAATCTAGCGAATTCTCAGCTGTGCATCTCTCGAGTCGTTTGCCAATTCACTTTCGTTTGCGTCTCGCTGCAAAGCTTCTCTTTCTCGCGAATCCTTTCATATATGTGTGTATATATATATATATATCCGACGCCGTATACATTAGACGAAAGAAGTCTATAATCCGGGGTTTTATGATTTCGCTTTATCGCGCGCGGCTCAAAGTTATTATTGTCACCTATGACTCCCGACCGTGTGCGCACATGTACCGTGTGTATACGTTATACCATATACGTAAGCGCGGATAAGCGGCTAATACTCTTGCTATCGTGTAAAATGCGCGAACCGAGAGCGTTCGGATTCGCACACCGTTAGCTCTCTTTGCGCCGTATGTATCAATATAAATTACACGCGTCAAGAACTCACATAAAATGCAAGACGTTCAAATATCGTATCTCTTCGCCGCTTTCACTTATCTCCGCGTGAAACCTTTTAGACGGAATGCGCGCTAATCGGATTTACAATGTTGTTACAACAAATTAGTTCAGCCGTATTGCGCATCAAAAAGAAAAGAAAAAAAAAAAAAAAAAAAAAAACTTTCGATTTATGTAAGCTGTCCCGCGGATCGTGTCGGGGAGATAACGAGATTCTTACACGTTCGGTTGTACATATACGTATGTAACCTTACTCGTTATTTATTATCAGTCGTATCTTATTCTCGATATCTCGCGGCCTTGCGCGCGCTTCCGCGATTTACAGCGATCGCGAGGTATATAGGTGGCTATATCCAGTTTGCGAGCCGAGCTCCGCTCGGTAAACGATCCCGGTAGGCAGCTGGTCAAGCGCAAAGGCACCCCACAGCGAGCGAAACGTAACCGCAGAGCGATCGGCAACAGCAGCGGCACTCAATTCGACTATATACCTACCTACTCTCTTCCTCCCCGCGCGCGGACGATACGCGCGCGCGCTCCATTCCCTTTCAAATATGGTAACGTCCGTGTCGCACGAGTGCCTCTGGTATACATACACGTTCCACGTGTAAATCCGTGTTCTCACCTCTCTCCTCCGAGCACGAGGTGTGTATGTACAATCACACCCCAAGAGTGTGTGTTCGCACCCCAATAATATTCCCCACAAATAAGGGTTCCGCGGAATAGAACTGTGCGTAACGCATTCGGCAGGGCTGAATAATGGCCGACCGGTCGCCTCCCGAATCTCTCGGTCATTATGTTACCGGTCTTGTTACTGGTAAACCAACCCCTCGATCGAGTAGCGTTAAGTCGTCGAGGCCTCACAGCTTTTCTCGATGTCATTGGCGAAATGACTTTCGAACGAGCGGGGCGTGTCTCTTAACGGCAAATCACTCTTCGAAGATTCGTGCGCACCTTTCCACGGTTTTGAAAACTCCGCGCTATTATGATGAAAAAAAAAAAAAGAAAAAAAAGATTATTTAGATTCTCACGAAGAGACAAATCTTTTTTTATTCCCTTGTGGGTTGCGAACTTGCGATTTATTATTTTTATATAATTCTTTTCGAGTTTTTCCTGTTATGTTTATCCTTCTTAAAGATAAGATTTCCCGACTCCTCTCAGTCTGCGACTTCGCGTGCTTATGCATCTGACAAGAAATATCTGATCTCTGTTGTTTTGTTGTGTGTATATCGTAGACGGAGGTCGAGGACACGAGCAGCGACGGAGCATGCGACGGCAACGTCGGCGGTCCTAATCTCGCCTGCCCCGAGGGCAGCAGCGGCCTGATCGTCGGCCCGGAAACGTTACCGAACGTAATGGAGTGCGGCGGATGCGGCGAGCGCGTACGCGAGCGAACTGTCCTGTGCGTGGGCGGACGGACGTGGCACTCCAGATGCCTGAGGTGTTGCGCCTGTGCCCGACCCCTGCATGATCAGCAGTCGTGCTTCCTGAGAGGCATGCGACTCTACTGCAGGCACGACTACGCTCTGTAAGCCGATATATATATATGTATATATATATATATATATGTATATCGATTGAACGCATACTCTTTTTCACGTGTGAAAAATATATAATATTATGTAATTTAAAAAAATATCTACCCCGCGTTTTAATCGCGCGCGCGTGCAAATTCAACGGGTTGAATCGGCTTTGAGTTTTTTGCGTGGTGTGTTGAAACCGAGAAAAGAGAGATAGAGGCACACAGAAGAAAAGGAGAAGAGGATGGTAGAAAATAGTTGCTTCGTTTTGTTTGCGTTACACCGAATGAATAAGTGGAATATTTTTGTTGCGCGCGCGATGCGCACATCGATAGCGATGTAAGACGTTACCGGTCGTGGGGGAGATCAAAGTCGACGGAACCCGCGGTGACTCGTCGATTGTACCCGGTACGGAAGGCTTCAGGCGAAGTCTGCCCAATGTGTTTATCCAACTGTCAATCAGTTACTTCAGTCACCTGGGTATTGCACCATCCGAATCCGACATCAGACGTTCGTGATATCCGATCGCAACATACACACACACACGTACACACAAACACACGCCGCGTCTGACGCGCGAAATAAAGCGAGACTGTATCAATCTCTCATCCCGCGAACACGGTTTGAAGTAAATTTGTTTACATTATCGCGATATCGACGAAATTTTCCCGTAAAATTTTTATTACGTCGTGTGTTTTTTGTTCTCTTTCTCTGTTGTCGCGGGTTAAACCGCGAGATTAAACCGCGCTCGTCTCGGCAATTGGGTATATAAGGGCTGTTTTTTGGGATTATATTCTTTCAAGTGGCTAACTTGAACAGAACAATACGCGGGAGGTCCGAAGGAATCTGCCACGTAATTTTTTGACTCATGCTTTCTGCTTGATAATGCTGCCATTCGACGATAGCCAGTCGTCTCGACAGGATTGCGGCGATCCATCGACGATATATTCTCGGCGAAATATTTCGAAACAAGTACTGGAACACAGTACCCGCTCCTTTCTCTTTTGCGTGATAACGAATAAAATTCGAAAAAAAAAAAAAAGATAATTATATGCGACACTTACAGAAAGAAATACCGTACGCGAGATATCATCTGGAGATTATCTCTCCAGTCTCGGCATCGACATGCAGTTTCATCTTCTTTGTGGCCTTCGCGCGAGAACCGGCGTGTCACACAATCGCGAACGTGTCACTCGAAAGTTTAAATCCCTCTCTAGCTTCCGACGTGGGCGTGACGGAGAATCACCTTTAGTATCAGAACAAGGAATTAGCTGCTGCTCTCAAAGGACAATAGGATTAAGTCGCGCGTATCGCGCCGCGAATCAGAATTTAATCCTCGCCGCGTCGCGATAGAATTTTTGTCTACTTCGCTTTTTTTGTTTCTTCCAAGTTTTGTTTCAAGGATAATAGGGAGATAGATATTCATTCTGAATGAGATAAAAAATTAAAAAGAGATCGGTATAATTCACGCGCGGAAGAAGGTGCGCGCGCGCGCGCGCGTTTCTTGCGATTCGAAAAAACAAAATCAAAAAAACGAAGAGTTTTCGATGACAACGGCAGGCTATGGTGACCACCGAGGTAGTCGCGTGGCAAATCCATAAGATATTCGGAGCTTGCCGTGTTCGCCGGCAGGCATTTGCAAACACAATCCGCATATAAGCGCCTGGCCGCGCGCCTCCGATGCGATTCCGATCCGATCCGCGGCGCGGAGAGGAACCGGCTGAAGTATCGGATCGGATGCACTTTCCGTGTTCATGAATATGATAATGGGCTAATGGCCGTCTAGTCGTTGTTTAATTATCGGTCGCGACACGGGCGACTGTATACACACACGGTCGCCAACGCCGAACGAACAACCGTCCTCTCCTCTCGAGCTCTCGCATGTGCGATCGCGTTCGTGCATCCGTACAGGAAGGCACAACGTCGTCTTCTCGTAGGCGCGAACCAACGGGCGCCGTTCATCCGTAGCCGTGTTCATAGCCGTGGTACACGGCTACCGTTTTCAGCGACGACCGCTGTGATTTCTCGCATACGCGTTCGTTCGTCGCGCGACACGGTATTATTAGAATCGATTCTGTGTGTGTGTGTGTGTATTCTTTACACACACAGATAATGCGTGTGGATAGCGCGAGCCTGAGACTCTTTATTAGATCGCGCTGGTGAGTTACGCGCGAGGATATATCGATGGCACGACGTTGATAATTCAACGACGGCGCATTAATTCGAACTAATTAATGCGAGGGAAATAATTGTGCATAATTTTCCAACAGGTCTCGCGCGCACGCGCAACGAGGTTAATTAAAACGCAAAAGCCCTTCGAATTACACCGGCGCACCAGCGTGCGCACGGATATTAACTAGTGGCAGACACTGAGTCATGAAGATACACCTCGAGAAGAGAACGATATCTCTCGCGTCGTGCGTTTCTCCGCAAGGATCTTTACCCGAAGCTCGTAGCAGGGGAGGAAGGACGGGTTTATAAGAGAGCCGAAGAAATAAACGGCCGCGAAACACGCGCCACTGGAGTCCCACTTGCTTCTCGACACGAATATCTCTTCTCTAGTCTCTTTTCTTCCTTTCTTTCTCTCTCCGCTGGCTACCTTTGCTTCGCGTCTCTTCGATTCTTCTTCTTCTTCTTCTTCTTCTTCTTCTTCTTCTTCTTCTGCTCCCCACGTCCACGAGTTATATATCCGAGCTGCAGTTCCCCCATTCCCGTCTTTACCCCGTACTCGTTGATCGAGTAAGCGTCTCAGCTATATTGGCTGTCGTTGTAACGTAGCGTGAAAATAAATTCCGAGACGTCACGATACTTAGCTGCTTATTAATACCCGCGGCGGGTATTATTACTCTCTTGACACAGTGTGAGGAAGTTTCACTTCTCGTGTTTGTAGAACTTTCGGCGCCAAGTGCGCGAAATGCGGACGCAGCGTGGGCGCGGGAGATTGGGTGAGACGGGCCAGAGAAAGGGTTTATCATCTGGCTTGTTTCGCGTGCGACGCTTGCTCTCGTCAACTGTCCACCGGCGAACAATTCGCTCTCCTGGATGCCCGATTGCTCTGCAAGACGCACTACCTTGACGTTGTCGAGGGCAACAACACGTCCTCCGATGGTGAGAATGTCGCATGTGAACATGTTGTTAACGTAACATTGTTTTGGTTTCTCAATTACAGTTGCTTTTTGTTTATAAAAGTTGTTCTAACACGGAGATTTTTTCAAAATCGATACCGGTAAAATGTGCGGCACATCATACATTGATTATTATGACTGTTTTTAATTGCAACTTAAGTCGCGATTTGAAGCGATAGAAAATAGGATTGTTAATTGTCTTTTATATTGTTACAAAGTTGGACACGCTGTAGGTGACATTGATACGCTTCGCTCGTGAGATGGATCGTGTATAATAACAGTAAGGAGAAGAGAGGTACGGCTAATTGATACTTTCGCAGAAGGCGGTGACTCGGAGAGCGGCCACAAGGGCGGCAACAAAGCAAAGAGAGTCAGGACGACTTTTACCGAAGAACAGCTCTCCGTTCTACAGGCAAATTTTCAATTGGACAGCAATCCCGACGGGCAGGACCTAGAAAGGATAGCTCATGTCACCGGACTCAGCAAAAGGGTGACGCAGGTGTGGTTCCAGAATTCGAGGGCGAGACAGAAGAAACATCTTCACACGGGCAAGATGAAAGGGCAACACGGTACGCATTTTGTCCCGATCAAACGCGCTTTGTTTTGTTTTGTTTTGTTTTTTTCTTGAATTTTATTGAACACCGTTACAATTGTAATATCTGTTGTGTGTGTGTGTGTGTTAAAAATCGGTAACTGTGGAAAGTAATCAGAGCGCATCGAAGGAATGAATTTTTACAGTTCATCAATCGCCACCGAATTCTACCACGTCGCCCAACGACTTCAGTCGCCATATCAACTTGCATCTGACGTACTCGTTTCAACATCAGCAGCAACATCAGCAGCAACAGCAGCCGCAACATAGCCCGGCTACGTGCAAGAGTCCCACGGGCTCCATTTATCATAATCACGGTAAGTTTGTTCAAGAATGTTCCGATGTCGAAAGGCGCTGCGCAATTAAAACCTCTTTCTCAAATCACATCTCTCAGAAAATAATCGCAATTGGAGATTCATAACTTATTCACGTGTAGTTGCGATTTTTGTTCTCTCAACTCTGTTCTCAGGATCGGAACAGTCGATGGACGAGCTCTCGCAGGACTCGATGCTGCTGTCTATGCCGAACGAAGTTTAATGGACAGCAGCGACTGCGGCGAATTGTAAATACGTGCGTTGCTTTAAAAGTGTCATACGTAGAGAGAGATACGCGCGTCTCGAGGAAAAAACCACCTACCCCATAAGCGCGCGCGCGGGGAAGGTGTCGGTTTAATTAATCTCACGGTGGCAGTTTCACTCTTCGATGACGCGCTTACGAATTAATACTCGCAGCGTAATAACTCGCACTCTTGGTGTTAAAACTTATTTACATCCAAGTATGAGTGTTGTTGCGTGTTACACACGAAAAAGTCGGCGGAAATAGAAATACATAGAAGTGTGCGCGTGTGTCTGTTTTATGTGTGCATTGCGAACGTACGCCAGGACGCATTAACAATACATCGTGATAACAAAAAGCGCGTGAAACACAAAGTTGAACACGTACGATTAATCCATGCACAAATAAAAAAATATTCTTAATACGTATATATATTAAATTCGATCGTGTGCAAATTCAAGCGCACCGATGATCGTTAACACACTCTGGTGTACGCGCGTTCTTCGGCTTGTATTTTAATTCGATTTCTCTCCGTCTATATTTCTCTCTTGGTTGCGCTCGATAATCGTGACAGGATATTTAATCGGATGAGAGCCGAGCGCGAATGACGAAGTTTTATCGTAGAGACGTACAAGTTTTTTTAATTTTTCGACAATTTTCTATATTCAAAATTCGTTCGTTCTTTCTCAATCTCTTTAATTCGGTGCAACCAAGAAGAGAGTTGTGGAAAATAAGACAAACGTAAACATAAAAAAAAAAGAAAAAAGAAAAAAAAAGAAAACCGGATAACGTGTTCTCCGACGTTATCGGAGACGCGATTATAATCCGCGATTCACATATCGTCGACGGAATTTCGCGTGTCCCGTAGCAATGCTTCGAATGAAAGTATCTTACGTAGTGTCTCGATAGTCATGCAAAAGAATCATTTAATATGAATGTCCTGTGATTGTAAATATTGTAAACTAAACTATATATATATATATATAAATATATACAATTGCACATGTTGAACAAAAAAGAAAGATCGTGATTTTATCTTCCTCTTCAAATATATTTCTCTTTAATTATGTGCTAGATTTATAATATTCATGTAATCAGGAAGATGAATGATAATGGAAAAAGGCGGATATATATACATATAATTGCATCAACGAGACAAAAACAATAAAAGACGTTTTATTAATAACAGTAGGATTTATAATATATAATATTGCATCGGCCTGCAGTGCGACATTGGAGCGATGTCAAATTCTCACAGCCACACTTTTTTTCGATATATTCCGCTATATGTGTATCCACCTACAGAAGATATACGTACAAAAGCTATACATTTCGCGTGTCTATATATACAACTTCTTATATTATCAGAAATATCTATGTCAAAGAAAAAAAACAAAACAAAACTCGTCCACGAGGATCTACTGTGGCAAATACACATATACTGTTACAAGAATTTGAATAAATAATATATGATAAATTAATAATATAATTAATATGATATACATTGAACTCATTTAGTGCACAGCAATAGAATAACTTTAATAAAGGTTTATAGGACAAAATGTTACTGTTAATTTTATTTATTAATAATTACTCGTTATTAAAAATTCAAAGGCTTTTAGTTATATAATATTTATCGATTTGACGTTTCGAATCTCCAACAATCTCTAACAATGGCAAGCTATACAACACATATGTACACACACATTCCAAGGTTGGTTAATTGTTATATATATATATATACATACATATATAACAATATATAACAATATATAATAATGTTATATAACAATATATAATATTGTGTGTGTGTATATATATATACATATATTATTGTATAGTATTGTTAGATTAAATTAGAGAGCTTTATTTATATAATACGCTCTGAGAAAACCTCTTCAAACAAAACTCAAAAACAATTTCAAAATAAAAATATAAAAACAATAACAAAAATAAAGAAACAAAGTATCAGGGTAGATGTAAAGCCAAAATACAGTTTGTGCGTGATTTTATTTAATATAAAAATAAAAATAATAAACAATAAGAATTTAAACGACTTTGCAAAAAAGTTAAAACAATAAAATTCATTTTTTAATAAAACAAAAAAAGAAAAAAATTATAATTAATAATCATATCTGCTTCTGCTTTATTAAGCATTTTATTTGAGATAAATTTGACTAAAGTTATTATATTGCTATCAAATAAGCCTACTCTCTAAATTTCTTGTGTGTGGAGTAAAATTTCCAGATAAATATTCACTGCAATAATGAAAATTACTGCCATTTTTTACTTAAAAATTTACTTTTTGCAAAAGTGATTGTTTAACCGTAGAGAAATGTGTCACTCGCTCGAGTGAATAAATTTTTTATTGCAAAAAACAAATATATTTATTCTCGTAATTTATATATTTTTGAGTAAGGGCCTGAGCGCAATAGAGAAAATATTAGAAATTAAAAACAGACATTAAATGTAACGCTCAATACAAAAAATAAAATATAACATACAATTGTATATAAATATAGGCTGTATATCATGCAGTCGTGTGACATACTTCCTATATTTATATGTTATATTTTAGTTTTTATCATTGTATAATACATTTAACTTCTATTTCTAATTCTTATTCCTAATATTATTTATTAATTTATTGTGCTCAGGTCTTAAGTTTCTCGGTTATTTCCACTTCATAGAGAAATCACCGCGATTGGATTCGAACCCGAAACCTTTGCTTGCTGAATCGGTGCTCTATTCTTGACAATGCTTATTGCAAAACTATTATAAGATGCGCTCATTTACTTTTTGCACAAAATTATATTCACTCTACAACACAGTACACATATTCACTCTATGACACAGAATAAAATATTCACTTTAACAACAGAACGTGGGAGAATTCACTCCGCATGATTGAAAAGTCACTCTAATTTGAGTGCACTTTTTTTACTTAAAGAAATTTAGAGAGTATAACTTCATTGTATCTCTTATGCGATAATATATCATTTTATGTACAAAAAGATCAAGAACGATCCTCTTCTTTTTTAAAGAAGTACTATTATTTAAACATTAATATCACTGATTTTCATGTGGAATACTTTCGTCTTGAGTTATCCGGTCGAATGACAAAACTGGGACTGCAAGTGATTCGGTGTCGTCGGTGTGAGCGGCGTTAAAGGTGTGAGAGGTGTTAACGGACTACCAGGACTGTCGCTACCAGCATTGCTGGCTTGATAACCACCCAGATAAGCTCCTACTACGTTGATACCAGGAGGGGGATATAGATCGACGGGATGATGTGACACCATCGTTGGCGAATGATGTACTGCGAACACACGGCAACACAACAAGCAACCATTTGAATCTTTACATTCACAATCGGCTGCGATTCGACGTCCTTTGCAAAACACTCGCGAACACTTACATTGGGTTTTGATTTTGCCGCTGTGCTTTTTTTGTCGCGCCCTGGAATTCTGAAACCACACTTGCGTGACCCTCTTGCTAAGCCCGGTTACTTGCGCTATCCTCTCGAGATCTTGCCCGTCGGGATTGCTGTCCAACTGGAAGTTGGCCTGCAGAACCGCGAGTTGCTCCTCGGTGAAAGTCGTCCTCACCCGTTTCGTCTTGCTGCCTTTGCCACCGTGTTCAGAGTCGCAATCCTCTGACGAGGAGGTGTTGTTACCCTCGACCACGTCCAGATAATGCGTTTTGCAAAGCAGCCTCGCGTCCAAAAGCGCGAACTGCTCGCCCGTAGAGAGCTGACGTGAACAAGCATCACAAGCGAAACAGGCCAGATGATAGACTCTGTCGCGGGCCTTTCTCACCCAGTCCCCGGAGCCCACGCTGCGCCCGCATTTCGCACACTTCGCACCGAAAGTTCTGCGAACACACGAACACACGCAAAAATGTTCAAACTTTTGTATGTGAAAGCTTGTATACGTGTGACTTTTCGTCGAGAAACGTTAACCTTCCAAGGCGCGCGCGCGCGCGCAAAGCGTGAAGAAAATTTATCACCGCGCGTAATCAATAATAAAAGGAATCGGTATACCAGTACCGCCCATTTATCAGCCACTTATCGCCGTTCATCATCGATCGATTCAGATATCTTTTTTCTTTGGCGAAACGCGTGACGTACGAATAGACGCTAATAGATGCGATCTCCGCTGTACGTTTCCGCGCGAACGAGAACCTATTTTTTAACCTGATTCACTCCACCTTCAAAGGTTAGAAGCACCCAGCAGCAATCCTGCGTCCTCATTATCATACCATCAACCACTCTGAGATATATGTCTTCTCCAACAAGATACACGAAAGATTCTTTTGCTTATTCGGTCTACAGAGATCGATATCGGAGTCGAGAATAACGACTTACGCAGAGATTACTTCAATATCTCACGTTTTGCGGCTTGAATTCCGTGTAAAATATCCACATCACTTTTTTGACTCTTGTTTGAATAAAAAAATCACTTTTGTTAAATCAAGACAAGTCGAATACCAATAATAGAGATAAAAATCGAGCGACACACGTCATGTGTAAAGTCATACAACATGTATAAGGGAGCGAGGAGGAAGAAGATAAAAAATTGTACTATTAAAAAGAAAAAAGGAAAGAAAACAGAAGGGAGAGAAGGGAAGAAGAGGACGGAAAAAAGAAGCAAAACGAAGAGCATATATGAAGAAGAAGAAGAAGAAGAAGAGGAATAGAAGAATGCATCAACGACCGATCGACCATGGTGTTATTGTATGGAAAAATATGGTAAGCTCACGAAGGGATTAGTCTCTTCGCGTCTGCCTAGTCATCGTCGCATGACGCGATATTTTCGGTTTTATATTATTGGTTATGGTGATGCGCAAAGGGCACGCCTAGAAGCTAGTTTGTGGGCGACTCTTGAACCGTCGACCTTTTCAGACCTTTTAGAATAATGCATGGAGATCCAATTAGTTATTTTTCTGTTTGCGTCATTTTCCGGTTCAGTGTCTGTTATAAAGTTTTCTTTTCGAAAGATTTCTTCGGTCCGACAGATTTCGCGAGTAAATAATTTCGAGAGGAATAAAACCTATGGTGAAATTAATAAATTTCACACTGAAGAGTTGTGTCTGGCGAGCTTCTCAGGTAAGTAAAGCTGACGTTCTTTCTCCGTTCCCCGTTTTTTTCCTTGCTTCAGACTTGAAGAACGATTATACGCAGAGAATACAGGACTAGCGTCGAGAGAGAGAGAGAGAGAGAGGAAACTTCTTGTATGGTATACCTGTGGCAGTGGCGAGAACTAGTATTGGATATCTATAAATCATCAGGGCCGTACGGCGCGCGCGTCGGCTACCAAACGGCCCCGCCCTAATTTATTCATTTGTTCTTCCACATAGGCGGGCCCTATAAGTCAACGGGGGATTAAGTTAGGCGCTCGGCTCGTTCGCTAAACCCGCGGCTACGATACGACGCGTTCACCGCACATGATCGAACACCTCGCCGGCACGCGGGTCATGATTGAGAGCAAAGCCTACGGATCGCGTCGAGAGGATCCGTATGTATTATCAGTCGGCGAAGTTAATTGCGTCTCGGTAGCGCGCGGTCTTGAACATCTCGTATATGTGTACGTGTACACGCATAATTCCCGCTATTTTACCGTTCCGGTAAATGATATCGAGAATGAAGATACAGGTCGTATATAAACACCGTGTTATCGCCGATATATATTACCGCGTGATATTCTTCTCGAAAGAGAAAGAAGAAGATAACGCGCGCGCGTCGTCTAAAGTCGCAATTATTTTCGTTCGCTTCAACAGTTCACGGCACTCGTGCGTAAGATATTGCGATCCTAAGGCAAGGTAGAAAAGATAATGTCGCGACGACAGGTGCGATCCTGCGGCGGCACACAGGACACGGTTTACGTTGATCGCAACGAATCGAGAGAAACCGGAATCCCGTGGAAGAAGGAACCGCTAATAGAGCAATTTTTATCGCGCGGCCACGAATCACTTCGACACTCGAGATCTTCTTTTTTCGGTCGCACGAAAGCGACGAAAGCAGGGAAAGGATTGAAGGGAGGAAGGAGGACCCGATCGTCGAAGGAACGTAAAGATGCGGAGTCTCGGGGGTCGGAGTGAATATTTATTAATTTCAAAGACCAGCTCTCTCTTTCTCTCTCTCTCTCTCTCTCTCTCTCTCTCTCTCTCTCTCTCTCTCTCGCTTCGTCTGAAAAGAAGCGCGCCGCGCGCGGCTCGCGTTCTCAAACGAGAGGGAGAAGGAACAGTTCGAGGATCGCAGCTGGCTTCGGTGCCTTACGAGGCGAATTCCTCAGTCCTTCGGAACACTGACACTAGGCAGTCCCATCTCGAGTGACTCGGCACCCACATATACACGTACGCGTATATTTGGTATACGGAATCACGAAGCGCGAAGTAACCCGCTTTCGGGACATTGATAAATTAATGATAGCCGATGTAACTTCTCCTTCCCCGTCGATGAAATATCCAACTAGCGTGACCACATTGTGACCCTAGAATGTTATTATTATTCTGTTTTTATTATTATTATTATTATTATTATTATTATTATTATTCGTCTCTCGAGCCTTCTGGTCGCTTAAATGGAATCTAAAAAACTTTTTTTCGAACCCGGTGTTATGTACGATGACACGCGGTGAAGTAACAGTAAACTGATTACTCAAGTTGGTGAAAAGCAGAAATGTGTTTAATGGTGCGGGAAGAGTGAGCGAGGGAATGAAAGAGAGAGAGAGAGAGAAAGAGAAGAGAGACGGAAGTGTGAAAGCTGTATAGAAGCGAGCAAAGACCGCGCGAAAAAAATTCAGGACAGAATATTTTTTTTTTTCCGCGTTCATCATCGCGCGCCCGCGCAAGACAGTGAGACGTCGAGACGTCAACGTGACTCGCAGCTCGTGCTGTGCGTGGAGCATGCGTGATACACGAATGTGCGATGACGTGAATAGCCGACTATACGTGAGGTCCGTGCAGGAGAAGGACGAGAAGCAAAGAAGAAGAAGAAGAAGAAGAAGAAGAAGACGAAAAGGCAGACTACATTGGAAGACATTAATCACCCAATGGCGACTCTCGCGCGCTTATCTCGAACACCCAATACGCGCGCTTATAGATGTCTGGCCTGTAGAAAATGCCTATCGGTATCCCACGCGACGACGAGCGGGCCACGTGACTCGAAAAGATACGATTCGAGGTTTCCGACCTCTCTTTGCTCTTTTTAATTTTCCTCCCAAGAACAAAAGACGTTTTAATATGGCGCGGACGTTTAATGGTTTTTAAAGAGTCGAATATTCTGACCAGTCACCGTTGTCAGTTGTAACCGACATCCAAGAATGGAATCGAGTGAAATCTCTATTGAAGTGTACCGCTTGCGGCGCGCATTGTCATACGTGCATCGAAGCACCCGAGGTTTCTTTGCGTGCGTAAATAGAACGCGCGCGGCAATTTCTATCTGAGAGATCCTCACACTCGGCTCCTCGGTAGCCAAGAAACGTCCTCTTAAGCCGAGCGGCTTTAAGAGCCGACCTGATCTCGAATCGTGCCAGCGGGGTGTCCGCGTAAGTTGTCCTCGGATATTATTGGATATCATCGATAACCTCCGTAAATCCCCTGACTCGCGCGAGATAACGACACGCAGATTCGCGCGCGCGTAGAGAACAGGTAGCCCTCCTGCTGATCGAACGGTCGTTTGATTTGAGCAAATAAGCGGTGTCTGGAATTCCGAAATAGACCTCGAAGAGAACGCACCACCTTCGTGTGTGATCGAATTGCCTATCACTTTCGGCACTCTCCGAGAGAGAGAGAGAGAGAGAGAGAAGAAGAGGGAGAGGGACGCAACCTTGCGATGTAAATTTTACGCAAATGTTTGCACTTACATGGCATAATCGTGCTTGCAGTACAGCAACCTGCCGCGCAAGAAGCACGAATGTTGATCGTGCAAAGGTCTCGCACAAGCGCAACACTTTAAACATCTGGAATGCCACGTACAACTCCCGACGCGTAAGACCATGCGCTCACGCACACTCTCCCCGCATCCGCCGCACTCCATTTCCCTGAAGTCGTATTCCTTGTCCTGGCCGTTGCTCGTCTTCACGACAGCGACATTGTTGTTGGGACCGGTGTCGTTGTTGTTGCTGTTGTTGTTGTTCGGACACAAAACACTGTCCACACAGTCGGACTCCGTCTCCACCTCGCTCTGGAGAAAAAAACAACAGGCGTCGATACACGTGAATATACGGAATATTATTCAAGTTTTTGAATCGTTGATCACAGAGTACAGGTCAAATTTCCCAAAGCGTATACAAATCCAAAACGTATATTTTTCCCTTCATCGCTTTTCCCACCACTAAGTATGATTACAACCGAAACTGCGCTGGCGCGAGATGAATTTATACCAAGTATAAGTCTTTGCACATGCGTGAGATAAAGAGTGTGGGAATAGGGAAAGTATACGTTTTGGGAGGTTCGACTGTATTTAAACACAATTAATCAATATATTTCAAGTTCGCGAATCTCTTTTGTAAAAATAAATATTGTGAAAAATATTATTGTCAAGAATCAAAAACTGGGGATCTTTCCATTTTGTCAGGACTTTTTTCTATCTGCATCCACATCGAATAAAATAAACAAAACATTCTTAAAACTTTAAAACCTTAAACTAAAAACTGACAACATTGTTTTGTTTGTGATAACGTTACGTACAAAGATAAATTTTTCTAAAAAAAATAAACCGCAACGTTATAATCAGATAACTCGAATCTTAACCGACGGTCTTTTCGAGTAGTTTGTCTCCGAGCGATAGGCGCTGAGCAACTTTAATGAAAAAGTTGCGATTCGTCAATACGCGATAAAAAAAAAAAATAAAAAAAAAAAAAAACTTAAAACTTCATCCCGCAGATTAATAATCTGCACTTTTTTTTATTACTGCATATTACGGTGATACTTTTCGCCGATATCGGTGCCAAGCCGACGGCGGCGGCGCGACGCGGCGCCTATTGTACGTCGCCGGAGATATAAATACAAAGATATCGTCTGTCAGATCATCTCCGCGAGCGCTCTGTGTCGCGCATATCACGTCTTATGCAGATCGTATGTAATATCCGATAATATTAATTGGCACGCGAGCAGTGCACAAAGGTTATTGTTCGCCGCGGGGGGTTATTCGGCGAGTTAATTACTTGTAAGTCGCGCGACGACTAGCGCGGCGGCGACTCATTATTGCGCGTTCGAAACAGCGCGCCGATATGCGCGCGCGGAGAAGAAGGCTAATAAACAACGTTTTCAAAACTATCAACGAAGAAAAGAGCAATAACGAACTCCGTAAGCACTCTGATGAAAAGTATGAAAACACTCCATCGGTCATCCGGCTGAAGCGGTTGAAAAGCCGACGACAACGACGGCCAATTTCGAGAATTCTTCCACTTTCCTGGTCCTCGTCTATTAGTCTTCTTTCCACACGTCGTTCCTACACGCTATAGGAACCGGTGTAATCATTTCATGTGCGCAAACCAGACAGCCATTGATTTATGACTCGCCTAAGGCAAAACTGAAACTTCCCACTTGTGATTTATGTTTCACGGCTTTTCTCTGTCTTTCCGCGCATAGAAATGCCCGCGCCTTCGTGTATCGCGCGGACCGCGATACTTCGATTTATTAATACCGTCTCACGTTGGGCGATGACGGGTTTTAAGTGTCGAGCGAGAGTTCTTCAGAGCCCTCGAGAGCTCTCTATTGGGAAGAACGTACTTCGTGTCGGGATGCGTGTATGATCGGCAAAAAAAGAAAAAGCCAAAACGAGTTATGCGAATAACGGAAGGCACGCCGGCGGTTTACTGCGACAGGGGCATTTAAACGAACGTGTCTAATACCAACACGACCAAGATGGATCTATGCGAATTCCGAACGTTGAAATTAATTGCGTAGATGAGTGTGACGATGTATAAATTAAGAAGAAATACTTGAAACACATTGTGTTTCGGAATAACAATAAAACACAATGTAACGGTTTTTGTCACCAAATTATGGTAAAATCTATTTGATAAATTATTTGTAGCGAAAACCTTTTTTGGCTGAGAGAATAGTTAAAAAAAATAATAGTAGATATTTTGTATTCAGTTAAGGAAGTTTCCTCGACCCTCGAGGATCGTATAGAATAATTTATAGTAGTTTCTGTCCTCCGAAACGAATCAAACGTGTTTTCATTATTTATATACACAATTCTTTCTTCAAAATGTTATCCGAAAAGTGTGTTACAAAAGGAAAACCGATTTTTTTATTTTCGGAGAAATAGTTCTGTGGGAACAAATACGAATAAAATAGTCAATAGAAATACTTTTCTTAAGATTCTTTTTCTAAAAAGTCAATAGAAATAGTTTCCTTAACATTCTTTTTTTTTTTTAGGAGAAAATATATTATATTTGCGAGAAAAATGTCAGCATAGAATACTTCTAGGATACTTCTATAAATGGAAGTCACAAAAAAGTATCCTCCTTTCCGTTCTTTTTTCGAAAATCGAATGATTTTAGAGAGAAAAGATTACGATCTATTGAGACGAAAATTCTCTCCCACGCAAATTCAAATTGACGATCATCATTTTCCGAGAGTTCACGTCTTAGAATTTGCTTTCTCCAATCAGCAAGCAGCGAGAGAAAGAATAATAGGTTCCATTTTTTACTCCACAACGAGCCGGAGCCGAGCACGTAGATGATCTGACAAAATGAAAAATGTGTGGAGAAGATGATGGCTCCTTCCTCAGGCTCTTTAGCAGAACCGACATAGTCTATCGGAGAGTAGTGAACACATCCCTATATATAATCTACCGCGGATCTTCTTCTTGTGATCTCGCTGTTTATATACGGAGTATGTTATCTCTTAATTAAATTGTCATCTTGCTTCGACGACGAGTCAATCCAACAACGTAGAGAAAACTGGGGCGCAAAGTCACACCAAGAATAAATTATTAAAAAAACACAACGCAATATTATGTAATATTATATATTATATATTATATATTATGTAATATTATTAGCCGTTTTATAGCGCGCATTCCTTAGCTTTGAGAAAAAGAAATGTTATATATCTTTATCTTAAAAAAACGTTATTTAGCATTAAGATCGCGCAACTTCGCCAGCTTACCCTATATTCCCATATCGGATTGGTTTTCGTATATCTTTTACATAGAGGATTCGTAAGTAAATAAATAATTCCTGTTTCCATGTTTTATTACGTAACTATAGCTTGTGATAATAACAATATCTATATTATAAGGACAAATATCTCTCTGTATTTAATAAGCTATTTAACTCAGTGTGACAACTAGCCCCACCCTCTAATAGATATATGTTACATCAAAATTTGGAAATCTTTTAAATTTAAACGAGAGTCACGGCGCGCGATTTTGCAGTGTTCATGCCTACTTGTTCATTCTTGTCGATTTCTCATTTGTTAAAATTTCGATTTTGTCAAAATTCTGCATGTAAAATCGTGCCGGCACTGATTTAACTATAATAATTAATTCAAACTATAAAAATAATACTTTTGTAACTTCTTAATTAAAGTTTTTCTATCTCTAATTTTTATATCTAAAAAAAAATTAGTTTTTCTACATATCTAATTAATTTTTTATCTAATTTAAAAGCTGTAAGAAATTTAGTGCATTGTATATTTTTGTTTAGCATGTGATGCATTAAATTTAAATTCTTTTAATAATTAATTAATTTATAGGTTAATTAATTAATTAACTAATTAAAAGTGTTTAATTAATTAATTAATTAATAGTTTTTAATTAATTTATATTAATTTATTTATTATAGCAATTTATTTTTTATGATACGCTTTTCTTCAAAAAACTTATATGTGTCAAATATTTAAAAACAATTTACCTTCATATTTAATCGTTGCAATTAATCCAGATTCGATTACGGGTTTCTTCTTTTTTTCATTTTGATAATCGAAGAATTGTCGGAGATATTGTCTCCGTATATAGTCTCTCTTCGTATTTCTCCTTACTTTTACTATTGCACTCCCAACGTTTCTCCACTATAACTTGTTCTACAAATTTACCACGATTCGAATTGCTCGATTGATGCTCTAATCGAACACGTTTCAATTCAATTAAAAATTATTTATTTACGAATCAGAAACTCGCGATTCGTAAAGAATCAAACGACACCCTTCCCGAGCCGATGCTCAGAGGAAACTGACGTACTGGATTCTGCCCCCTACTTCTGTCTCAATGGACGCAGGGACGGGACTTGTGCATGTCTCGTGCGTGGGGATAGACACCAGTACACTCGCACACTCGTGCACGTGTCATAGTCCCACGTTAGTGGTAGTTTGATTGCTTATGAGGGTTAGTAGTAGCTCAAGATTTGTCTTTGGAATAAATAGAGAAAGTCACCGAGAGACATTTCTTCCATCCAAATTATTATTGTAGAACGAAATTTTTTTGAAAGTATTTAAATTGATGTAACTTTTCTTGGAGACTTCCCATGTGACAATGTCTGTTACGAGCAAGACAGTCTCAAAAGAATCAGCATTAAGATTTGACGCGTAGAAGTACATTGAAGCTATCATAGGTGACAACGTAAACTCACACGTTATACCTTACGTATGTGCCGGTTCTGATGGGGGTTGGTAGGATAGGTAGGTGATAATAGATGGCACGGAGAGGATAGGGAGGAATCGCCGGTACGTGGGACTCGGGTTGGGGTGAGAGCTCGAGCAAGCTCCGCCCATGCTACCCGCCCACAGCTTCCTCGGCCAGAGTAGTGCACACGCACCCAGTGACAGAGCGTACGTGTGTGTATGAGTTGGACAGGATATATACTCGTAGGAGGTAGACGGTGAATCGCGCCGCTACTGGGGTGCCTTATTGTCGGCAGCCAAACTGTCGAATGGAATTTCAGCGGTGATTCGCAAACTCCTGCTGCAGCCCGAGTCTTCGCGCAAACTTCGTTTACAAGTCCGGGCACATCCAATATCAGCGTTCTCCGCGATTGAGGAAAAAGCGCTCGCTCTCTCTCGGTGTGTATCCTCCGCACAAGTTTTTATTTTATTTTACTATAGGTAGCGTTACGAAAATATCTCCCTTCTCTTATAAAATTAAATCTAAGCAAATCAAATTGTTTTTCGTAGAAACATTTTGTGTTCTCGCACCAAGTTTTAGCTAAAATTTAGCAATAATGTTAGAGGAAATATAAGAAATATATAATATATATGCTAATAATTGTGAAAAAATATAAAAAATTTAATATATATTAATAATTATTATTAAAAACTATTTGCGTAAGTGTGTATGTATATAAAATTAAATTATATGTACATATATATGTTATATATGTATACATATATATAATTATATGTACATATGTATATAAAAAAATAGGTCCTTTTTAATCATAGTAAAAGAAAGATGACTATTCGAAGAAGCCTAACGCACCTGTTTGTGTTTTCACGCTCGCCGAAGTCCAAGCCGTAAATCATTCTCGAATAGACTGGTGGCTTTTATCACTGTTATATCCTTCTTCTCGTCTATACTATTTCTATCTTTTTATATGTATGTTTACCGTCAACCATGGCGCACACACACACACACACACACACACACGTGGCGTATACAAAATATGTCCAGTCTTCTGATGTATGTTTCACGACCCAGCATTCGAAGCTTATGAGACACACGCACTCTCTCGCATCCACGCCCAAAATGAATATGAATTTCTCTCGCGTCACGGAAAAACTGTCAAGCGAGTTTTCGATTCCATCCTTTCCCCACAAGTTTTATTGCCCATGCGATTCATGACCCGTGAAATACTTTGCTCTTCAAAATAGATTCGACTATCTTAGAAAAATAACCGATTGACAAACCATTATTGGAGTATTCAAATCATATTATCGAAGATATTGTTAATCCCATTCTATCGATTATAAATTATATTTTATACAGATAAATCCGCGAGTTATGTGAAACACCTATTAAAAAAAATTTTAATTATCTTGTAAGAGACATAGTTTTTTTTTTTTATCACAAATTCTTTCATTTTTTTTATCTGTGAATAATATACGATTCAGAAAAAACGTCGCGTATTACTTTTTCAATATTTCGAAAAATCGATATAAATTAACCAGCATGTGCGTTGGCCTTTTCTTTGCTTCTTCTCCGAAAACGAGGCATTAGTAACGCTTACCCGACATAAAGCGAGAAAAATAGCGGTTGAATTATTCCAGTGGCAAAGTCAAATGAACAAAGATCCTACGACCTTATGGCGTAACCGCAGGGTTCCAGCTTGTTGATATCAAACAAATCGAATACGACAACATGAACCAGCGGTACGTCCATGAGCCGATTCGAGTAAAATCCATTGATGCGATCGAGAGCCTTTGGCCGACGACGGTCATCGAAAAATATAACGGCAATCGTTCGCGCGTCTTTTAAAGCAACGAAGAAAAAATTGGATAATTAATAACAGGTCTCAGCGGCGGAAGTTGCGCAAGTATTTGAGAAAGTAGTATCGATGCGTAAAGCCGCTGTGATTTCGGATACATAATGATAGCCAAGTCTATTGATTAAAAGTGACTCATAAAGATGACTATGACAAACTGCAAAAAAAAAAAAGAATATGTGAAAGGAAAAAATAAATCAATAACGCAAAGTTTAAATAATCAATCAATGAGAGTCAACGCTGAATATATACATGTATATGGACGAACATTTAGCGTTGACTCTCATTGACCGGCTAAACTTCGCTTTATTGATTTTAAATCTCAATTAAATAATATGAGAAGAAAGAAAACGCGTTTCCTTACAAAGTAATAAGAAAAGGATTCAGTCTCAACAAAATAAGACAATATATATATATAAGATGTTTAACTGCAAACAGACTGCAAATATGCTGTAAATAGATTATAATAATAAACATCAGCTGCTGTAAGATAAAAAAAACGAAGGCAAGTATCTTCGGATGTTCTTGGTATTGTACAGGACAATAGGAAGGTATTTGTCTTCTTTGCCTTTTTTGCCCTCATTGATTCTTTGCATTTTAATGAAACCCTCAATTTTATTATAAAATGAATATCTGGTTTGTACAATTTATCATTAGAATGATCACCTGCAGACTTGTCCGAATAATTTACCTGACTCTGTTTAGCTAGTGTGGTAAACATGGTCATAAGATCCAAAAACTCTGAAAGGCTCTGTAAACTCTATTGTCGTTTTCCGAGTTTCTACTAAGGGATATATACAAGTTTGAGAAAGTCTGCGCGTCACGTCGCAATGCTAACCACCTGCTGTGCAAACAGCCTGCATGTTGTAACGTAAATAAAAAAAAAATCCGGCTCACTGACTCGATCGATGAGTGAGTGTTCAATGACGTGCGCACTTTATTACGCGTCTTTTACATAGACCGCACGAAACAGTTGCACAGTCGATGGCAACTGAAGGAGAAATTACAAACGGCCGGCCTTGATCTGACAAACAGTTTTCACGAACGTTTCTTTTAAATCTCTCACGACGACGTAATAAAATCTTTGTGATCAATTTGCGGCCGACTTGTTTCGAAGAAAACAATTTAACATTTTTTTTAATCCAAACACACGATCAAACTATTAAAAAAAAAGAGATAAAAAAAAAGACAAATTTTACACATTAATTTATAAATTTTTGTGATTTTGCTAGTTTGTACGTTTTCTTACTGAAAACGCGCGAACGATCGCGCTGCGATAATAGAGAACCGACGCGACACTCTCTCTCATCCTCCGTTCGCACATCCTACATTCAGCTTCCTGCTCTGTGATCTCAGAGTGCCTATGTGTTTCATCCCTCTTGAAGTTAGCTAACAGCAGGATCCTGCACAATATAGTCGTGATTGCAAATCCGCTCGTTATCGTCAAAACTGTGCTCGACCTTACCAAAACCAGTCTTCCACCCTGCAAACCTCCCGCATTCTCTCTCTTTCTCCTTCTCTATTTTTTCTTGCAATATATTCTATGAGAGAAAGAGAGAGAAAAAGAGAGAGAGAGAGTTTTCTATCCTCCAATTTTTTTACACAATAAAAGACATTTTTTCGCGCTCGATATAAAATAAAAAATTTAATTTAATTATTGCTACAAAAGTAGCAGTGAGGCATGTTACAAGCAGCTTTTGCATATCATGCGTGCAATCGCGAGTTAGAAATTGCGAAAACCACTAGATACAACATATTTATTCAAGCGCGAAATGAAAGGTGAAGTGCGTGCTGGCGCGAGTCGAGAAACATATTTCAGCAAACAGAATCAAATATTGTCCGAAGAAAACACGTCGATAATTGCACAGGTGGCAAGAAGATCGATCTCCGAACGACGTAAAATTCGCGAAACTGTTTCTTTTCTGAATGTTATCGGCAAAATTGATCGAAAAACCATAGCGCTTTCTCATGCGCCAGGCGCGTCTTGCGCTACAGCGGCCAACTAAAATTTATAAACGTGACAAACGCGCAAGTGGTAAAGGATGACACTTTTATTTTGTACACTCGAATTTTTTTTCTGACACGATTCCGAGGTCAAGTGTGGAAGGCCGTCACTCTTGATTAATATTCGAGTTATAGGACGATGACAAGGGTCGCGGCATAATAACGAGTGAGTTTTGGTAGCGCATGCCGAAACTATTTCTGTTCCGCTCACCTGCAATAGCACCAGATCGTTTCGTCATCGAGCGAGAATGCCACGGTTTCGATTCAACGAAGCAACACACGCTTGGTTCACACTAATCGTTTCTTCTCCTTCGGACAACTAACGATCGATATTACGCGTCGAATAGTTACTTAGGACGGAAGATAACGCGGAAAAAATAATAACGAATGGGTCATTTTAAGTCGGACTTTTTTTTGTTTTAGAGTTTGTTTTCCAAACATTTCTCTTCCTGAGATTAGAGACATTCACACATCCCGATCTATCAGTTTCGCTAATTCTGCGCGGATTCTGAACAACTGTATATTTTTTATTATTTTCTTTTCACTCATATTGTACAAGACAAAAAGAGTTAAAGCTTAGCGTGTTTAATTGTCAAACACACATCGCAGAATGTCTCTCTGCGCTTCCTTTCATTTATATCCCGTATCGACGCGGTGCAGTTTAACCCTTGCGCACATCTGTCTTTCTTCTTGCCCATGTACACGTACACGATGGATACGATATA